CCAGACCTAAGGTAAGTTTAGGGGGCCCTATAACATTTTTATGGCTTTATAAGGAATTCTTTAAGGTTTCAGAGGGTACTAAATATTACTTTTTGTTCACATCAATCCCCCCGAAACCCCTAAACCCTAAACCCTAAACCCTAAACCCTAAACCCTAAACCCTAAACCCTAAACCCTAAACCCTAAACCCTAAACTCCTGAGACCGGGAGTCCCACGATGGTCGTTGTGATCCGTGGAAGGCATGGTGAAGCGCGATGCCTGGAGGCCAGGAGATGGGTTTGGGGTTTAGGGTTTAGGGTTTAGGGTTTAGGGTTTAGGGTTTAGGGTTTAGGGTTTAGGGTTTAGGGTTTAGGGTTTAGGGTTTAGGGTTTAGGGGTGGCTTCGTTGGCTTTGTTGAAGCCACAAAGCTCAGCTCGAACACCTTCTCGGTGCTCCTTCTCCTGTGCCGCTTGCCTTCTGCCAGGAGCGTTCATAAGGGCTCTGTCCACATGACACATCACATGTGGGTTCTGTAGGGACACAAAGGGATATGGCCCCCCCCACCAAATTCCAAGGATTCCAAATCAGGGTTGAGGCTCCATGTACCTAGAAAGTATATACTTGGGCCTTAAAAGGGTTCCCATATCGTAGCTTTCGGGGCCCAAGTGTATACTCTAAATGTACATGGACCCTTCGGGTTTGGGGTTCATTTAACCCACAATGGTTACGAGGCAAGCCGTCTCACGACAACTCAGAAATCTAGCCACGCCCAGCTGCATCAGCTGCCAACAACTGACCTTAAACCCTGAACCCTCCTGAAGTCCCTCCCCCTAAACCCTAAAGCCCCGGAACCCGAAACCCTAAACCCTTATCAAACCCTCAACCTAAACTCGAAAGCCTAAAACCTACGTAAACATGAAAGCCATACAATACCCGAACCTTCCAGTCCACGGGCTGATACATCAGTACACTCCCCGCCAAGACGCTCTCGCGCTTCTTCAGGGGGAACATGTTAGGGGCCCAAAAAACCACATAAACATAAGGATCCTACAAACAGGGTTTTTTCGGAATCCCCCTTATAGGGGGGGCCCTTATACCCCAATAGGATCCTTATGTTTATGTGGTTTGTGGGCCCCTAACATGTGGCGATTTCAAACTTCCTACCTTTGAGGGTACACCGTTTGAAGGGTGTTCCTGTAATGAGGATGACAGGTCTTTCGGGTATACAAGGGGGTGCACATATTTTGGAAATGCCCATGTAAAAGAACCCCGAGGATTTTGACTAGGGTTTAGGGTTTAGGGTTTAGGGTTTGGGGTTTGGGGTTTAGGGTTTAGGGTTTAGGGTTTAGGGTTTAGGGTCCCTAAACCCGCAAGCCGAACCAAAGCCGATGTCCACCAGCCTCCCCCTGCCAGCCCTGCTTCAGAATCTCCGAGTGGTGCGGCTGCACGAAGCCGTCCTCTCCCGCCCCGAACTCCTAAACCCTAAAGTTTAGGGTTTAGGGTTTAGGGTTTAGGGCTTAGGTCCCTAAATCCTAGACCCCTAAGGCCATGGACGAACGGAGGGACAGAGACTTCAAAGGCATTATGCAGAAGCCAGAATGGCAGCCCCGAAACCCTCCACAAATCCAGGCCCTAAACCGTGCTTATCTTCGGAAACTCATAACCCAAACCCTAAACCCTAAACCCTAAACCCTAAACCCTAAACCCTAAACCCTAAATCCCTAATCCCTAAACCCTAAACCCTAAACCCTAAACCCTAAACCCTAAACCGTAAACCCTAAAGCCTAAAGCCTAAAGCGTAGCTTTGGCCCAAAAGCCCAAAAGCATGCCTGGACTCCCCCCACCCTCCTCAGGCCACAAAGCCCTCAGAAAAAAAAACCTCCGAACCCCCCCCCCCCCCCCCGAAAGCCTCATCTCCATAGAGGAATATTTTTTAGGGTTTAGGGTTTAGGATTTAGGGTTTAGGGGTTTAGGGTGCCTCATCTCCATGGAGGAATAAGATGGGTACCTGGAGCGGAAGATACAAACACCCTTACAAGGTATGGGGGATTGGGGGCGCAGGGTTTCGTGGTTTGGGGCTTTCGTGGCGTAGCGGGGTTTTTTGGACTGGCAGGGATTTATGTAAGGTGCTGCTTGAAGGACCTTCTGCTTTCTAGATCCTCCAGCTGAGAGGTTGGCACTTCGGGGTTTTGGGGGGTTAGGAGGGCTTGAGGGTTTAGGGTTGAGGGATTGAGGGTGATCTGGAGAGCTGGGGGCTGTGAGGGCGCTTAGAATTCTAGGTCAGGGGCTAACACTCCGCAGCCGAAAAAGGATGTAGGGTGTAGGTCAAAAAGGTTCATGTTGCGTATCCTAAGGTCTCCGAACACCCTACACTTAGACCCAGTAGCCCGAACATCCTGAAGACAAGCAAGCCCTAAAACCCAAAAAAGGACAAAACACAAAGCCCTGAAGCCCTAAACCCAGCAGGAGCTCACAAACACTAAGCCCGAAAGCCCAACAAGAAACCTCAAACCCAAAGAAAAACCCACAAAGTTCCAAAGCTCAGATTCAAGTTTCACGGCCCTAAACCGTAAACTTCTCAGTCCAAACTCTGAAGACATTCCTTCCAGTCCCCCCTCCCCCCAAAAAAACTCCAAAATCTTGAGTCCAAACCTGAGGGTTGAGGGTGGAGGGCTGAGGGTTTAGGGTAGTAAGCTACGCAGGACGCGTCTGGGGCACGAAGCAGCTGTCAAGATGCTTCTTGGGCGAGACCTGCCACCGCTGCAGCAGGCTACGGGCCGCCATAAACGCCGGAACAAATGAAACTACAAAAATGGGTTTAGGGTTTAGGGTTTAGGGTTAGCACAACCACTTGAAGAGCCGCTCTAAGGAAGCCCGAAGCCGTAGAGCCCTAAACCCTAAGCTCTGCACCCTGAACACCCTAAACCCTTGCCTCTGAATGCCCAGATCTGGGGAAGGGAGGGTGGCTTTGAAGAAGTTGCAGCTCAAGGCAAGTGGCTGAAGAGGTTGATTTTTGTTGGTTCAGGGCTTGGAACTTAGGTTTAGGGTTTAGGGTTTAGGGTTTAGGGTTTAGGGTTTAGGGTTTGGGGTTTAGGGTTTAGGGTTTAGGGTTTAGGGTTTAGGGTTTAGGGTTTAGGGTTCAAGGGGGATTCGGCTGCAGGGCTTATGTCTTTGGGGCTTCAGGGCTTTCAAGCCTCGGGTTCGTGTGGGTTCTTTCGGCGATGCTTTTGGGCTTCGGGTTCAGGAATAGCCCCGAAGCCCGCAAGCCCTATGTCCCTCAACCCTAAACCCTTCACATAACCCTATGGTCAGTTCTCATGATGATGGTCCCTTTCTGGGTGCACCAAAAATTACTGTAGGGGTCGCCTTGTAGCGACCCCAAAAGAGACGAAAAATGTAGAGGAGTGACCATATAGAAGCCCTTAAACCACTTGAGCCCCATAAACCCTGGACCGAAACCCAGACCATTCGAAAGGGGGATCTGGCTGATCGAGCCCCCGATTCGCACCCTCTACTCCCGTTAATTCCGCTTGGGGGGCTGAGGATGCTTGTTATTAGGTTTAGGGTTTAGGGTTTAGGGTTTAGGGTTTAGGGTTTAGGGTTTAGGGTTTAGGTTTTGGGTGCAAGACGGGTTCTACTGCCTGGATGCTCTCTGGCGTGATGGTAATTAGGCAATTAACGAGCCTACCTGAATTCTTGAGGGTTTTGGGCTGGTGCTTAGGGTCTACGGTCAATTCCCTAGTTAAAGGGCTGCTGGGCTGGCGGTGACGTTAAGGCTTTGAACCCCAAACCCCGTCTTCCTATGTCAATGCGCTCCCCACGGCCTCGCAAATGTCAAAGTTCGCCTCCCAACAGAAAGGGGCATGTCGGCATGTCGGTAAAGGGTTTGGGGTTTTTCGGTGCGAGACCACTTCGACCCCCTCCATGAAGCGGTTGGTTGTCGGCACATGAGCTGCAATGCCCTCCCATTCCAAACCTGGACGGGTTTAGGGTTGTCTACCCCCTACCCCCTATAAGCAGACATGTATCGCCTTGACAGACTTGGCAACAGGCATGCGGGAGCACGGCCCCGCAACCCTCTCCCCCACCCACCCACCTCTGCCCACCCACCCACAAACTTATTGTCCCAAAGCAGCGAGTTCAACCAGGAAGTCTAAGGCTCGTCACATAGCGCGACTGGGTAAGCCGGGTTCAGGGTCCAGGGTTCAGGGTTCAGGGTTTAGGGTTTAGGGTTTAGGGTTTAGGGCGACCACGAGGGCTTCGGGTTCAGAATCACAGCCTTAGCATGCAGGAGGGGTTATGGTCTAAGGCTGGTGTCCCAGGATTTCTGCAGTGTGTGCACCCATTCTCTCCGTGGGAGTCGCAGAAGCATCTTGCCTGGATCAATCTTCCACTGCATCGGCATCTGGTGCCTAAACCCCTACATGAACCCTAAAACCCTATGAACCCAACACTCTAACAGACTCTAACATATACTTCCAGGCTGCCCACGCTCCTGCTCAGGTCTTAACTGCGTTCTTGCAGAATATTGAATGCACTCAAAGTGCCGAAGAAGCTGCGTTTACAGTTCCCTCTCGGAGGTAAGAGCCTCGAAGGCTCTACTGCGAAGAATGCAGCCTATAAAACAACCAGGATGGGCTACTAATACCCTATAGAACCCAGTAAAAAAGGCCCTTTATAGGGTTCACTATGAGGATGATAAGGCCTACTATAGCCCATCCTGGAACCGGGCCAGGGACCATGACGAGAAGTCAGATCTCTTTCGCACGGGGCAATGTCACCTGTGAGCAAAGAAATCACCCTCTTATAGGCACCCAAGTCTTTCCCACGGAGCTCAGGAGATCCGACTTGACTGGGTAACCTTCCCCCCGAGTTGTGGAGTGACTTGTCTGTACAGCTGGTTATTACCCGTGCCATCAAGCCATGCCCACAATCCTACCATCGGGCAGACAAACTTTCATGTGTGCCCATTTCATGTGTCGACCATAGAGCCCTCACTGCTGCGCGGTGTTCGGAGCTCCTAGAGGTCGAAGTAGAGCTTCGAGGCCGGGGCCGGAGGAAGCATCTCTGCGACGAACTTGGCTGGGTGGATCTTCAACGCGCGCTCGCTCGCTCGGGTGGGGAGGCGCTGCTGCCACAGTGCTTCCGCCAGAGCAGCAAGCGAGAGCGGGTCACACATCTCCACGAACGCGTACCCCTTGCACTTCGTTTGGCTTGTTTTTGGCATCTCCAGCACGTACTCGGTCGACGTGAGGGATTCGAGGAAGCTGCGGAGTTCCGTCTCGGTGCAGCGTGCTGGCACATTGCGGATCATCATCTTCGTGGAGGAAAGCCATTGAGCGCTGTTCGGGTGCAAGCCGAACTCTTCCGTCCCTTAGCCAAACTGGGTGTACATTGTACAAACTGCAAGAATTCCAACGTCAGTGCAGTCGAGTGGCACAAGCTGGCGGTCGAGCGCGAAGCCTCCGGCGCAGCCAACTTTACATTGCAACCCGCCGGCGTTTAGCGGTTCAAAAACCTGCTTCCATCGTCATCTTGCTAGCACAATTATCGCCGCACAAATTGCCATAACTTTCAGAGGCAGCTTACACAAGAACATCCCAGAACCGACGCTCTCTCGGCAATTCCCATAGACACTATAATGACTCCCTAGAATAGCCTCCCTCTCTATACATGTAGAAATATACATATACATATACATATATATATATATGGGAAAGATACCGAAAATGAAGATACATGTCCCTTAGGAAGATCAGAACAAGGCGACTCCAAGAAAAAACAAAAAAGCCCTGAACCCTAAACCCCTTAAACCCTTTAAACCCCATAAACCCCTTGAACCCCTTGAACCCCTTAAACCCCTTAAACCCCTTAAACCCCTTAAACCCCTTAAACCCCTTAAACCCCTTAAACCCCTTAAACCCCTTAAACCTCCCTAAAAGGGACCTCCAAGGCATGGCGTCCGAGCTGTGGTGAGAGCCATTTGTTCTCCAGTCCTTCAAGTGGGGCGGGGACACGAACAAAGGTAGAAAAGAAGGGTTTAGGGTTTTGCTTTGGGGCTTAGGGGTTTAGGGGTTTAGGGGTTTAGGGGTTTAGGGGTTTAGGGGTTTAGGGGTTTAGGGGTTTAGGGGTTTGGGGGTTTGGGGGTTTAGGGGTTTAGGGGTCTAGGGGTCTAGGGGTCTAGGGTTTAGGGATAGCTGGACTAGGGATCAAGGCTTCAACAGTCATTGAAGCGGCGCAGCCTGGAGGTGGAGCCACAGCTGCCACGGCCGCGCACCAGAGCTTGGTCGCTGGTAGGGCCACGAAGTCCAGGCCCTCAGCCACGGAGGGGTGCGCAAGTTGGGGTTTTGGGGTCTGCGGAGGCAGGGCAGAGCTGGTCTTCGACTGTTGTTTCAAAGCATCCTGGTGTGCATGCCTAAGGCTGCCGGGTGACGAGACTACCTGCGGCCAGAGCCATGGGGCGCAGCTGTGTTACAAGGAAGAGGAAGCACACACAGCCAGCACAAAGTGCGCACTCTGAGGCTACGAAGCCTATGGCAGCCTATGGGCTCGGGCCATGCGTGGCAGCAGCGGTCGGGCGCAACCTGCCCTTGCAGGACCACCGCACGCCACGAATGAGACCTCGATTCGGGCAGCCGAAACCCTAACCCAGCCCCCTTCCCCGCCCCGCCCGCAGTCGCCACGGGAATGATCGCCTTCACTTGCCCAAAAATCTGCTCCTGAGGCCACGCCTGGGAACTTTTTCCACGCGCACAGGCGTGCCTGGTATAGGGATCACGCCAGCCGGGCCCCTTTAAACCTGTACAGTGCCAAATCCCGGGAAATCAGATCTCCTTGGCAGAGGGGTGGCTTGGGCCTGGCATGGCATTGCCAATTGCGACCTTGCATGGGCCCTCCGCCCTGCCTCTCGTGAACCGAGCTCTGGAGCAGAATTCCTGAGATGCTGTTCACTGTTCATGGTAAGAATTATAAGCCTAACATGGTCTTCTGCCCTGCACCTATTCTGCTCCAGTTCATGTGCACATTTGCACAGCAGGAGTCGCGAAACCGGCTTGCCTGCCTGGAGGTTCAGTTGCTGAAAAATCTGCATCCAGGTCCTTTCAACGCTCATAGGGCTTCGTAGCCTACACATGCCTACATGGTGTCAGGCTGGGCGCGCTCCTGCTGAGCCTCTGTCGTCTCATGTAGCGGACACATGGCAGAAGCTGCAAGTACCTCTACCAAAAAAAAGGGGGCCTCGAAGGCTCTTCAATGAAAATTATCGTAACCAAACTCCGACGTGTCTAGAAAAATCCTGGATCGTGCTGCCGGGCTCTCGGCAAATCAGATCTTTCTGGCAGATGGGGCACTGTAATTTGCGAACTTGCATCACATTCCTATGAGCACCAAGTCTTCCCGCCCCACGGAGCTCGAAAGATCCAACTTGACTTGGCTGCTCGGCTGGTCTTTACCAGCGACACCCAGCCATACCCCTTCGCAGCGACCACGTGGAGAACCTTCCATGAGCGCTCGTTCATGCTGATTGCTTCAGGTTGTTGTTCGGAGGTCCTAGAGGTCGAAATAGAGCTTCGAGGCCGGAAGAAGCATCTCTGCGACGAACTTGGCTGGGTGGATCTTCAACGCGCGCTCGCTCGCTCGGGTGGGGAGGCGCTGCTGCCACAGTGCTTCCGCCAGAGCAGCAAGCGAGAGCGGGTCACACATCTCCACGAACGCGTACCCCTTGCACTTCGTTTGGCTTGTTTTTGGCATCTCCAGCACGTACTCGGTCGACGTGAGGGATTCGAGGAAACTGCGGAGTTCCGTCTCGGTGCAGCGTGCTGGCACATTGCGGATCATCATCTTCGTGCAGGAAAGCCATTGAGTGCTATTCGGGTGCAAGCCGAACTCCTCCGTCCCTCAGCGTGCGAAACTGGGTGCACATGGACGCCCACATTTTCACAAACTGCAAGAAACCATAACGTCATTGCAGTCGAGTGGCACAAGCTGGCGGTCGAGCGCGAGGCCTCGCGCCGATATTTCAACCCGGGGCTGTTGCTTATCAGCTCGAAAAGGCGCTTCCATCGTCAACTTGCGAGCAATTTGTCGAACAACCTTTCATGCCTCTAATATATGTACAGATATATATATATATATGAATATATATATATATATGTATATGTATATATATATATACCCATACAACCGGAAAGATGACAACAATGAAGATGCGTGTCCCCAAAAGAAGATGAGCAAGCGACTCCAAGAAAAGGAAAAAAAGGACCTCCAAGGCATGGCGTCCCAGCTGTGGTGAGAGCCATTTGCTCTCCAGTCCTTCAAGAGGGACACGAACAAAGATAAAAGACAAGGGTTTAGGGTTTAGGGTATAGGGTATAGGGTTTAGGGTTTAGGGTTTAGGGTTTAGGGTTTAGGGTTTAGGGTCTGGGGTTTAGGGTTGAGGGTTAAGGGCTTATAGGCCTAAGGGTCGATGGGTGGTGAGGAATCATTTGGAAGCCAGCAACCCCGAAACCCTGTGCCCTTACACTAGCCCTGTATGCGCCTGAAAGACCCAAGCAGAGCATGCATTACTTCGGACCCTCCGAACCCCACACCCACACACACACAGACACACAGACACACAGACACACATACACACAGACAGACAGACAGACAGACAGACAGACAGACAGACAGACAGACAGACACACACACAGACACACACAGACACACAGAGACACACAGAGACACACAGAGACACACAGAGACACACAGAGACACACAGAGACACACAGAGACACACAGAGACACACAGAGACACACACACAGAGACACACAGAGACACACAGAGACACACAGACACGCAGTCACACAGACACACAGACACACAGACACACACAGACACACACACACACACACACACACACACACACAACAGGCCCACGGAGCTGCTTTAGGGGTCAGAGCCTCAACCCCTAAACCCTATAAACCCTATAAACGCTATAAACCCTATAAACCCTATAAACCCTATAAACCCCACAAACCCTACACAAACCCTATACAAACCCTATAAACACCCTACACAAGCCCTCTACAAACCCTACACAAACCCTAGAAACCCTAAACCCAGTGGTTGGACTGGCACGCCTGGAGGTGGAGCAACTGCCGCCATAGCCGCACACCAGAACTTGGTCGATGGAAGGGCCACAAAGTCACGGCCCTGAGCGAAGAGCACCGCATGCGGCATCTGAAGGTCGAGGGTTTTGGGGCTTTGGGGCTTTGGGGCTTCGGGGCTTTGGGGCTTCGGGGCGTTGGGGGTCTGGAGTAGCAGGCGCAGGTGCTCTTAGACTTGTGCTTGAAAGCATCCTGCTGTGGGTACCCAAGGCTGCCGGGTGACGAGGCTGCCTGCGGCTAGAGCCATGGACGCCAGCTGCCTCACTAGGAAGAAGAAGAAGAATTAAGAAGTTTCTACCACGCCTATGGCAGCCCCTGGGCTCGGGCCATGCGTGGCAGTAGCGGTCGCGCACCACCTCATTCCCTCGCATGTGCAGCGCAAAAGCCGTAAGCCCTGACCCTTAGCTCGACAACACCCTAAATTACCCTAGAACCCTAAACCCTGAAACGGTCTTTTGGGTACAGTATTGCATCCCTAAACCCTCAAGCCTATACCCTAAACCCTAAACCCGCTGGTTGAAAAGGCAAGGGAACTGCACTAGGAAGTTCATTCGGGAGACCGGTAAGGGCCGTACAATGACAGAGGGCAACACCTACACGTAGACGAATGCCTTGACTGGCCCCTCAAAGTCTTACCTGAAGCCCTACATTCCCTCGGCCCAGGCCTTCTTCACTCTGCCCTGAGAACTTTTTTTCGTCTCGTGCCTCTCCTGCAGGAAGAGTAAACGTGTCTGCCGGGGTGCGGGATTCCAGCCCACCTGTGGATTCTTGAAAGACTACTGTACAGAGGCACGCCCCCGGAAAATCAGCTCTCTTTGGTTTGGGGTGGCATTCAACTGCCAGTGGCGCAAGCTTGCGGAGGCCGTCATGTCACAAGCCCTCCGCCCTTGCCAACCTCTTGTGAGCCGAGCTCTGGCACAGCTCTACCAGGATGGCCCTTAAAGCCCTCTGAAACATATTCATGACTATAGTCCTCTCAAACCCAATAGGGGAAAATAGTAAGTGCCCCAAGGGCCAACCGAGAGGACATAAGACCTACGCTGTATGCCCTGCACCGTTTCTGCTCTCCACTTCCTGCGCCTGCACGGTAGGAGTCGCCGAGTCGGCTGGCCTCGATGTTACCCTGTTTAGTGGAATCTGCGTCTATGGTACTACAGGGTTTAGGGTTTAGGGTTTAAGGTTTAGGGCTTAGGGTTTAGGGTTTAGGGTTTCCATAGTACGATATAGGCCTTTCAAAACCTCACATGGGCTTCAAAGCCCAAACTCCCACTGCGCCTCTGTCGTTCGTAGCTCTGAACTCGGACAGAGGCCAAGAATGCTGCACAGTTTTCGAGTCCCTCTAGAAGGGGCTCGAAGGCTTGCCCAAGGGATCCATGTACCAATATAGCATACATCAGGGCCCTAAGGCTACTACTGTATAGGAGTTAGTCCCTTTACGGCCCAGGTATATACTGTATGGATACACGGGTCCTTCTGAAGAAACGCAGTGAACAAAACAAAAAAAGCTGCCGAGGAAAGCCCTGGCTCGCCCCCGACGGGACCATGCCGAGAAATCAGATCTCTTTCGCGCGGGGCATTGTCACCCTAAACCCTAAACCCCAAGCCCCAAGCCCCAAACCCTAAACCCTAAACCCTCCTTGAGAGGTATCGAGCCTTTGCCCTTCAGAGATCCGACTTGACTGGGTAACACTCCACTAGAATACTAGGGCGGTCGAGAGGGCCTTGGTGAAGCTTTTTGAACGGCCTCCGCCGTGAAGCTAAACCCCTCACCCCGAGACTCCAAAACCCCTTAAGGAATATACCTTAAATCATACTATCATTTAAGGTCTATTCCTTAATTATAGGGTTTTGGAGTCTCTGGGCACAACAAAGCATCAGGCAAATTATCCACGAGTGCCCAGTTCACGCAAACATCCTTGGAGTCACTGAAGAAACTACTCCGCCTCGAAGAATCGTTCGAAGGCGGGAAGAGTCTCACATGTCCCATGAGCGTTCTCGGGACAAAACTGGGCTGGGTGGATCTTCAACGCGCGCTCGCTCGCTCGGGTGGGGAGGCGCTGCTGCCACAGTGCTTCCGCCAGAGCAGCAAGCGAGAGCGGGTCACACATCTCCACGAACGCGTACCCCTTGCACTTCGTTTGGCTTGTTTTCGGCATCTCCAGCACGTACTTGCCCGCCGTGAGGGACTCGAGGAAGCTGCGGAATTCCGGCTCGGTGCAGCGTGCTGGGACATTGCGGATCATCATCTTCGTGGAGGAAAGCCACTGAGTGCTGTACGGGTGCAAGCCGAACTCCTCCGTCCCTCAGCCCAAACTGGGTGCACATGGAAGCGAACTGAACAAACTGAACAAGCTGCAAGAAGCCAACCGTCAGTGCAGTCGAGTGGCACAAGCTGGCGTTCGAGCGCGATGCCTTCGGCTAACAGCCAACATCTGTGCATTGCAAGCCTGTGGTCTAGCAGTTCGAAAACTTTCATCATCGTCTTCCTAGCAAGTCGTCAGGCACTTCAGGCAAACATGGCCTGCTCTGAGGTTGCAAGTAATGAGGAGAACTCAAGGCATTCTAAACCCTGAACACATCTGATTTCTTAATGATTCTGATGCGCCCTAAATCTGGACTCTGGCAAAACACAGGGGGCCTCCAAAGCGTAGCATCCGAGCTGAGCTGAGATCAACACGTTCTCCAGTCCTTTCGGGGGGTGACGGACGCGAGAATAGCTCATGGGGCGACCAACTTACAAAACCCTGAAGTCTGTCGCCCTAAACCCCTGAACACCCGCCCGAAGTCTCAACCCGAATCTCCCATACATGTTTGTAACCTTACTTTCTATTTCGGGGTACTCACATGACTGAACCCGAAAACCCAGAGCCTAAACTCATAATCCAAGTTCTGACAATAAACCCGCGACCGTACTTGAAACTGCCCATAAGCCTTCAAGGTCAACTAGAAAAGTTGTCAAAGCAACCCGCACATCATCCCGTGTTGGGGTTTAGTGTTTGGGGTTAGGGTCTAAACCCCGCACAGACTCTTCAACCGCAATACCGTAGCTACCAATGCTTGATTGCTCACGACGGGCCACTGTGATGGAAATTAGGCGAATCATGACATGTGAGATCAGGTAAGGCTCATTCTGCAATTAAATTATGTTGCTCTACGTTTTACGATGATACTAGTACATTATTGGATTCTATTGTACTAAATATGAGGTGCCGCGTACCCATGGGGTTTACGAAAATATGGGACGCCTACTTTAGACCCCCAAACAGTAGGATTCCCTCATAACAAAGACCCCGATAAAGGTACTAAACCCAAACCCTAGACCCTAAACCCTAAACAGGGGTTTAGGGTCTCCAGGATTTAGGATCTTGAGGGACTTGGCAGGGCCTACCTCCCATATGCGACTGTCATCGCGCGCAGCGTGGAAGCTCAACCCAAGTCCTAAGCCCGAAACCCGAAAACCCTAAACCCGAAACCCTAAACCTTAAACCCCCTAGGTGGAGCCTGGAGGAGGTGGTATCGCGGCCGAATGCAAGAGTGCCGATGCGGAAAGAGCCATGACGTCTCCGTCCTGAACTCCACAAGCTTGAGTAGAGGTACCACCATACAGCCCTACCGCCCTAAACCCTAAACCCTAAACCCTAAACCTTAATCCCCCCCCCCCCCCCAAAAAAAAAAACATAAATAACCCAGATGTAGACAAAATGCAGTGGGAGATGTGGCCCAAACCCTAAACCATACCCTCGAGTTTGGGGTTCAGGGCTTAGGGCTAGGGGCCGTGGAATGGCTCTGAAACCCCACCCCCCCAGCCCAAAGCAGAAAGTCTGTGTTCCGCTGTCAGTTCATCTGCTTGGCGTGCACAAGTTGTACTGCTTTGAAGTTGGGATGTTCCCCCTTATACTAACAGCCCTTCATAGTACCATAGTCCCTATATTTTGGAATGTTAGTAAAGGGGGAACATCCCAACTTTGGGGGAACATCCCAACTTTGAAGGGATTTTGATGCAAGGGCTGTGGGCACCCATCGGCCACTCGCAAAGCCTCCAACCCGGCCTTTGGTTCAGGGCTTAGGGGCTTAGGGGCTTAGGGGGTTTAGGGGCTTAGGGGCTCAGGGGTTTAGGGGTTTAGGGGCTTAGGGGTTTAGGGGTTTAGGGGTTTAGGGGCTTTGGGGTTTAGGGGTTTAGGGGTTTAGGGGTTTAGGGATTTAGGATTTAGGATTTAGGGTTTAAGGTTTAGGGTTTAGGGTTTAGGCTATGTACATCTGCGTGATTTGTTTGCCCGAGTGCTTGCACAGATTCATGGGCCATAGGTGTACAAGTCAGGTTTGGCCCCGTACCTCCTCCAGTACTAACTACTCCGTAGGTGTATATATATATATATATATGTATATATATATATATATATGTATATGTATATGTATATATATATATATGTATATATATATATATATATGTATATATATATATGTATATATATATGTATATATATATATATATGTATATATGTATATATATGTGTATAGAAAAAACACATGTGATTAGAGTGTTAGATGCATTGCGGCCGTAGAATCTGAATCACGGAGCTAACCTTATAAGTTATAGCTACGTACCTGTACTTGTCTGTTCTTCCAAGCCCTCTCAACGTGATGTTCGTTTCGGATAAACAACAGCAGCAGCAATACACACCAAGCGTTTTCAAGCACGGTCCAAAGTACGAAAAACCTCGCAGCACATGCAGACCCACAAACGTGCCCAATGTAGTTTATAGCCCTATTTTGGAGTAGACCCTGGAAAAAGGGATATACTTTCTAGGTATAAGTAGCTATAATGGGAACTCAGAACCAAAAAAAGTATCAACATATAGTACTCCAAAAACACAGATCAGATTCTATTGTCCAGGGTTCAGTGCCCTAAACCCTAAACCCTAAACCCTAAATCCTAAACCCTAAGCCCTAAACCCTAAAGGTCAGTGCTTGGGTCCAGTTCCGGTTTGATGCCGGCCAGTTGCGCTCCGGGTGATGAGCTGGCCAGGAGCGACAATGATACTACTGAGCCACTGAGGAGGCTGTGGCCAAGCCAGAGGTAGGGTTTAGGGTTTAGGGTTTAGGGTTTAGGGTTTAGGGTTTAGGGTTTAGGGTTCAGGGTTCAGGGTTCAGGGTTTCCCCCGAGGATGTTGAGGTTTAGCGTCTAGGCCTCGAAGAGTGTTGTCCAAGGCTTAGATGGTTTTGGGTTTCGGGTTTGGGCCTGGTACATGGTCAGCAGCCAGGTCTCTGGTAGTGTAGCACGTGGGGGTACTGAACCTTCTGGAACCCTAAACCCGAAAGCCCTAAAGCCCTAAACCCGAAGCCCTAACCCCAGCTGCAGCTCTGCTTTTATGTAATGCGGGAACTTCAGCATCAGGTGCCTGTAGTACAGGGGACCAGTATTCATATGCCACTGGGGCTTATCGGGTTTGGGGTTTAGGGTTTAGGGCCCCCCAAATGCCCATTCACATGACATTGGCCCCCTGCGTTAGAGTCCTTATCTCAACTCATCTCTGCTGCAGTGGCAGACCCCACGACCATGACAGCACAAAGAACCCATACGCGCACCCTATCTCTCTCTCTCCCCCCTTCAACCAAAAGGTTTAGCGATTAGGGTGAAGGGTTTAGGTAGACAAGCATGGCTTGACACCAAATCTAACCGAAACAAAGGCAATTCAATGACTTCTAGCGCCCAGCAACGGCGCTTTTCAAAATATCCCTAAATCAAGACCATCAACCCAAAAAAACAGCTTGTTGCTTCTCTAAATCATGCTACACCCTAAACCCTAAATCCTAAACCTTATTGTTCGTAAACCCCCATTCCGACCTTCAGGGTTTATGGACTGGGGATTCCACTTGGATCTCTCGAGCCCTGCCTGCTGGCGGATGGCCACCCTGATGCCCTCAAACACTGCACCTCGGGTTCAGGGTTTAGGGTTTAGGGAGTTTAATTAGGGTTTAGGGTTTAGGGAGTTTAGGGTTTAGGGTTGGGGTGTTCCCCTTATACTAGCTGTCCTCAATTGGGATTAGCGTACCCCCGACTAGAATCCCTACAAAGGACTCTTAGTATCAGGGGGAGGGATGTTCCCAAGTGCAGGAGTTCACCCTGTAGAATGCTGCCCTGAATGGGCACGTGTGATTCAGAATACCTTCTGAACCCACTTAGGGGAATAAATGCGCCCAAAAAACAAAAACAAACAAAGATGTTGGAGTTTACGGCTCAAGACAATTGCGGAATTCCCCAGCCCAATTCACACAAGATGTAGTTTCTGTTGCCGTTATGATGATCGTACTATAGTATGTGAACCTGAACCCCTAAGCCCTATCCCCTTCTTGGATTGCTTCGTTCTGATGGACTTCACGCTGACTAGGGGGGGGGGGGGGGGCGGTTGGGTATGTTCGGCCCCCGTTGAATGGGAAGTAGGGTTCAGGGTTTGAGGGTGCCGAGAACCTGTATTTGCCCGCAAAGTGGATGTTCCTGTCACAAGGCAAGCTTTTGGATTGAGAATGGGCACTAAACCCAAAACCCTAAACCCCAAACCCTAAGCCCTGAACCCTAAGCCCTCAGCCCTGAACCCTAAACCGCAACCCCAAACCCCAAACCCTAAACCCTAAACCCGAAACCCTAAACCCTAAACCCCAAACCCTAAACCCCAAACCCTAAACCCTAAACCCTAAACCCGAAACCCTAAACCCCAAACCCTAAACCCCAAACCCTAAACCCTAAACCCTAAACCCCAAACCCCAAACCCCAAACCCTAAGCTCTGCTTTGAGAACCCTGAGGTCGCTGCGGCACATCATCGAAGGCAGGCGGAGCTTCGAGTTGACGATCTTCGCGGCGCGGGTTTAGGGTTTAGGGTTTAGGGTTTAGGGTTTGGGGTTTAGGGTTTAGGGTTTAGGGTTTAGGGTTTGGGGTTTGGGGTTTGGGGTTTGGGGTTTAGGGTTTGGGGTTCAGGTTTGGAGCTGTGGGGTTCCAGGTAGGGGACAAGGGAATTGAGGCCTACAAAGGATTGAGGGTGTATAGGGCTTTGGGCTTATGTAGAACGTTTGGTCGGCTGAGTTTGTGGCTTTTGGAAGTGTCTTGCTGAGAAGTGCGCGATCAATCGAGACCAGGGGAACCGACAAAAACTTTGCAGCAATCAGAATGGGTTGCTCTAGGAAGACAAGCGTGCATGCATGACCTCAGACGCTACCTAGACCAGGGTCACCGGGGACTAAAACCCAAAGCGCTAAGAGCAACATCCCCAAACTCCAAGCCCTAAACCCTAAACCCTGCGCCCTATCATAGCTCTAGCAGCCCAACACCGTGCACCCCAAAACCTAAAGCTCCAAAAGCCCAAGCCCTAAAAGCCGCTGTTCAACCGCCCAGTGCAGGCTGAAGCTGCTTTTGGAGTTCCTGCTTCTCAAAGAGGCAGGGTCTTGGGGCGGTTGGGAGTTCCTATAACCCTAAACCTAAGCCCTAAACCCTAGACCCTAAACCCTAAACCCTAAACCCTGAACCCTAAACCCTAGACCCTAAACCCTAAACCCAAAACTCTAACCCCTAAACCCTAAACCCCAACCTATGTATCCGAAAACCCGAAGCCCTAAACCCCCAAACCCAGAAGCTGTGCGCCTCTTGCATCAAGTTCCAAAGATCGCTGAAGGGGCTGTCGGCCACCTTAACTTGGTGTTTGGGAGGCTTAGGGGTTTAGGGTTCAAGGGTTCAAGGGTTCAAGGGTTCAAAGGCTAGGGTTATAGGGCTAGGGTTAGAGGGTTAGAGGGTTATAGGGTTTAAGGTTTAGGGGCAAAGGGTTCAAGGGTTAGGGTTCTAGGGCTAGGGTTAGAGGGTTATAGGGTTGTAGGGTTTAAGGTTTAGGGTTTAGGGTCTAGGAGGACGCAAGGCTCACAGATTTGGGGGCAGGAGGTAACGGCACGGAAGTATTGGTCGTCATCATCACCACGATACGTTATCGTCGTCGCCTCTCTTGCCATAGGCGTGAAATCTTCATGAGAAGACGAATAGAATACAAGTACACCATCATCGCCATAATCATCATAGTCATCAATCACCGCTGCTACCACGATGCATGCCGACAAACAGA